ACATGTGCAGAGGAGGGCTACCAGGCCAAGCATATTGAATATGGAGCTGCCAGGCAATTGAAAAAAAAAGAAGACCACAGGGGAGATTTGTGGATGTAGTGCAACGGGTTGACAGAGGAGAATGTAAGGGAGAGAGGGTGAGATAGAGGGACATGATCCGCTGTGGCGACCCCTATAGGGAGCAGTCGAAAGAAGAAGACATGATCCCCTAGAGCACCAGATAAAATCATATAATTGCACCATCTTTACACATTTGAGTCTTTGATTCAGTTTCTCGCTTGTGCAGTAACACATTAGCAAACTGAAACAACCCCAGCAAGTAATTCATTTGCATATGGAGCCAGAAGCTTATAGATGATGTCTGCTGAGGAAGAAGAAGGGAAAAAAAGAAAAGAGAAAAAAAAGCTGATATGAGTGCTAACAGTGTTGATATTTTTCAGCTGTTGTATTAGTGCCACCCACTGGTTAATTCCAACTAACAGCACTTTTCTGTAGACTCAGTGGGGGCCACAGCTGTGATTCCCATGATTATTCGGAAATCCTTTGCAAATACAAATGGTTTTATAATCATTTTTAAATCGCTCATTATATCCGTGCCCCAGGATGTGCTCCCCAAAGTGAGAAACTGTGGAGCTAACCTCTGAATAAGTGATGTCATTATGCTTCAGTGCTCTAGTGGTGTAAGAGACACGTGTGGCAAAACAATCTCAGAGTGTCAGAGCAGGTTCGGAGGCTGTTGTGGCGCTTTGGATCATATCAAACCGTCTTGTTTGATGGATTCATTTGTATCCGCTCGCAGTTTTTTTTAAAAACAGCTGGCGGTCAGATTTTAACACAAAGCAAAACTTTCCCAGGGAATGAAATCGCTGGCATTCCCCTTAACGTGCTTGAAGAGGTTTCTCAGTTGCAAGCAAGGGACAATTATTGGAAGAAATAAAAATAGAGTAAATCGTGTATTAGTTCCTCTTTACAATTCTACACCAAAACAATGCATTGTGTCTGCAGGGCAACTAGTGTTCGTGCCGGATAAGAAGCCCGCGGTACAAAACCTATTTTGTAAGAATGCGTTTCAACATTGTCAGTGATTTCCTTCCAAAGAAAGCCATTTCTTTTTATCGCTATTAACAAACAGCTCAGAAGCAGCTGTGTGAAAATCTCGAATCAAATATGCTGTATTGTCCAGGGAGCGTATGCTAGAACACAGGCCCAGGAAAGGAGCAGGGTGGTGCTTCTAATAAAAAGGGGGTGGTTTTACAATAGACAGTTCAACTTATTTAAAGCACAAAGCAGAAAAGAGCATTGACTGTACAGGAAGTGGTGGTGGGGTGGGAGGTAGACTGTTGGAAAAGAAAGTGACGCCTACGTGACACACAAGGGTTGGACATGACGAGAAGGGGGAAAAGGCCAGAGAGAAGAGAAGAAGCTCCAGAAGACGTCTGGCTTTACTGCTGTTTCAAACTGGAATATTTCTTACAATGGCAAGCGCTTTAAAGGTGTTGCGGTGTTTTGGGCCATAATTCTTCTCACTGAGGTGAACTGCGCTGCACTTTAACCTCTGAGAAAGTCAACACAGAGCAGAAGACCTCTGAGTCAACTGTGCTGTCTGTCTCGGGTTTAGAAAGGTAGGTGAGTCCCGCTGCAGAGGGTTTTGATGTGGATAACTTCAAGGTAAACAAAAAGGGGAATTCTAGGTTATATTTAATGCATGCAGGTTGGGTCGTGTTCTTGCACCGTTATCTCTGTTCTCTCTCTCTGTGTTTTGCTGTAGCAGCTGTGCTTGAGGGGCTTCATTTTAGTTTTGGCAGCAGACGTGTCCCGGTTTTGTTCCAACTTCTGATTTTACTGCAGTCTGCAATGCCAATACTGTTGTTCTTTGGATACTTCACAAATAAATTAAGAGGGGAGAGAGAAAAAAAAGAATACCCTAAACATTTGGCTTACATTTTTTTAATAGAAGGACATGCTGGCTGTAATTGTTTTTGCTCTCATTTTAATTTCACATTTTCTCTGGAGGTGGTGTTATTATTCTTGCTGCAGTGGCACCCCTGCTGCCTGAGTACAGAGGAAATTGTGTGCCGCTGCTGAGGTCATGGACAAATTCCTTTCTCTACTCTCTGTCTACATCAGCAGGTGTTATGGATCTACAGTATTTCCTGTGCTGGAGAGTTGCCCCACTGTTTCTCTTGAGTAAGCCTTTTTTGTTGTACCCGCCATATTAATGATTTTGTCATTAGAAAAAAAAAAAAAAAAAAAAGCAAAGAAGGGAAAAAGTATTGCTATGTTGCTTTGCCCTTTTTTCTTTGCACAAGCTGAGACAGTGGCACGGTTTCTGTTCCTCAGCCACACAAAGAATGATCAAAACAACCCTAAGACGTTGCACTGTTACGCAAAAGTGCCTCTTGCGTTAATGACCGCACTTGCATTATTTACGTTTCCCCCATCCTTTGCCTTTCAAGTTAAGACACATGATTAATAGCTCTCATGGTAAATGCACACAGGCTTACCAGGCTTTGACACAGATTTTAGGATATTGATGTGGTTTGATGGATATCACATTAGGCATGGCTGTCATGCATTATAAATCATAACTTGGCAATATTTGACAGCAACTAGCTATAGTATATTCATAAAGCGCATACAGAGAAGGATGGCGATGACATATTATGTTATTGTTTGTTTCATTAGCTTTCTATTTTGTTCGTACAATGCAAACACTCCAGAGGCAAAGGTCTGATTGAATACTGCAGGTCTTCATGGCCAGCGCAGTAGAAATATGCACTGTATGAGTCATGCAAGTGAAAGAGGCACAGAAGACGATGTAATAAAGAACAGTGCGATCTTTGTTCTCAGTGCCATGTGGGCTCCATTGTATGTCAGTGCACATCCTCAATGAAGAGCCGGTGTATGTAATCCCCGCATCCAGCCTGGATCTGAAAGCCCAGATCAAGCGTGGACACCTGGAAGACATCTCCACAATAACCTGGGAACACGAGCCTGAAACGGGGTTTAATATTGAGAGAGCGACACTGGCCACGTGCTCTGGCAGGAGTCTCAAGTGTGCTGGTACGAGGCCAAATGTCCGTGTGAGCACCGAGCAGCAGGAGACGACACTCCAGATTAATGGATACACCACAGCGGACAGCGGCGTGTACACTCTGACTGTGACAGATCGCCAAGGAGCCAACACCTCCACACAATGCATCGTCAGGGAATACGGTACAGTATGACGGCCGGCACGTGAGAGGATTTATTGTGACAGCCTTAGATAAATCCCCTTTTGTTAGTAAATTATGTGCACAGTCACTTTAGTATGTTGTCCATTTATCCAGGTCCCCACTCCACAAAGGCTTGTTGTAACAGACGTTATGGAGAAATTTAAAGACACTGCTGGTACAGTGCAGGGATACACAACTGCTTGAGTGTTAAGATGCTCTATATTTACTATAGTTGATCATTTAATTAAAATTATGAGCATTTAAAGGTTGTAGCGTAACCCCTCACTGACTCTGGTTCTGATGGAAGTTTCTTCCTGTTAGAAGGGAGTTTTTCCTTCCCACTGTCGCCAAGTGCTTGCTAAAAGGGGGGCGTTTAGTTGTTGGGGTTTCCTCTCTATTAATGTAGAGTCTTTACCTTACAATATTAAGCACCTTAAAGTGTCTGATGTTGTCATTTGGAAGCTTATAAATAAAACTTCAGGTTCAAGTTGACTTCCTACCAATCTCGGTACCTCCAGGAGCAGCTGGTCAGCAGACCTGAGAGACCGACAGGGTGTGTGGAGATGAAAAAGCTCAGAGAGGCAAGGCGGGGCAAGACTGTGGAAGCATTTAAAAATAAACATAAGAATTTCAAAACTCTAAAAGACACAGGCAGCCAGTGCAGTGAGGCCAGGACAGGGGTTATATGCACTCTTTTACGAGTTCCTGTTAGGAGTCGTGCAGCAGCATTTTGAATCAGCTGCAGACGTGAGAGCAACGACTGACTGACCCCCACATAAAGTGCGTTACAGTAGTCAAAGCAGGAAGAAATAAAAGCATGGATCACTATTTCAAGGTGCTGCCTTGAAAGAAAAGATTTTACTCTCGCCTTAAATGATAAAAACTGGACTTCACCACTGCTCTGATTTGGTTGTCCAACTTAAAACCAAGATCAGTAACAACAGGTTTAAAATAAACTTCCAGAGGTTTCAAATCTACAGAGGAGGACTCACAGGGACCACTGGGTCCAAACACCAACAACTCTGTTTTCTTTTCATTAAAATTGAAAAAGTTTAGAGCCAACCAAGCTTTAATGTCATCTAGACATGTCATGAGAGGTTTTATGGAGATGCCATCCTTGTGCTTTAGTGGCAAATAGATTTGGCAGTCTTTGGCATAACAATGAAATGCAATCACATGCCTTCTAAGGATAGAAGTCTGAGGGACACCGCATGACAGAGGAGCAGAAGATGATTCGGAACCGAGAAGGCTGACAGAGAAAGTTCGATCTGACAAACAAGACTTAAACCAATTGAGTGCAGTGCCACCAATACCTACTACATCACTTAATCAAGAAATTAGAATATTGTGGTCTACGGTGTCAAAAGCAGCAGTTAGGTCAAGCAAGACAAGGACAACATGGTTACCAGAATCACATGCCAGAAGGATGTCATTAAAAACCGTTAATAATGCAGATTCTGTGATATGAAGTGTTTTAAAACCTGACTGAAAAACCTCAAAGATGCCATTATCATCTAGAAAATCTTTCAGTTGACTAAAAACAATTTTCTCTAAAACCTTGGAAAGTAAAGGCAGCTTGGAAATAGGCCTATAGTTCGCTAAAACTGTGTGATCAAGGCCAGGTTTCTTAAGCAGTGGCTGCACTACTGCATGTTTGAAATTTGCAGGAACCACACCAGAAGACAGACTGCTGTTAATAATTTCAAGGACATACTGTCGTATACTAGGAAAAATGTCTTTAAAGAATTGTGGAGGAAAAGGATCCCGAGGGGAACCTGTGGGCTTAATATGGCGAACCACATCCTCTAAAGTGGAGAGCGTCACAAGTTCAAACTGAGTAAAAACAATTTTGAATAATAAAAGCGGAGGTATCCTGTTCAATTAGACCTAAAGCAAGTTAGAAAAAGTAGGTTTTTAACAGCATTTTAAAATGATTGAGAGGCTGGTCAGCTCTTATTCGGAAAGCTAAGTTGAACAAAAGATGAGGAGCCACCACTAAAAAGGCTCGATCACCTCTGCTATTAAGCTTGAATCGGAAACATCTTAAAGCAGTTGGTTCGTAGACGTCAGTGCTCTGGCAGGATTGTAGGGTTGCAAAAGTTCAGTTAAGTAAGGTGGTGCTAAATGACTGAGACTGAGAAACATGTAATAAAAATTTTAATTGGATCTCGAAGTCTGTGTAAGGAGCAAGTGTAACAAGAATATAGGTGATCATGTCATTTCTGTTCTGTCAAAAGGCAAACTTCTGCATTTTGCACATCCCAGAGGCGACGATGAAACGACTGGTCGAAGTCAACATATAAAGAATTGCAATAGTTTAAACAAGAGAGGTAATAAAAGTGTGAATTACTCTCTCAAAGTCATGCAGCGGGAGAGGCCTCCACCTTACTGAGATGCCTTAGTTTAGCAACAGAGCTCACCTGTTTATCAAATTTTGAAGCACTGTCAAAACGGTAAGAAGCTATAAGACCAATTAGCAGAGAGATACCCATCTAACATGCTGGGTTGCCCAAATAAAACATCTTGCTTTGGTTTTGTTCAGCTTGAGGACAACAATGGTGGGCACAATGAAACATTATAAATAACAGGCAATAAGTTAACTACAAAAAGAAGTGTATGGATTATCTCATAATAAATATTCATTAACAGCGGTCCTAATTCTAGATGATACACAACAAAAGTTTTTGCACAGTAATGAATGCAGATAATTAAACACTGATGACTTTGAGGAAAGAATATTACCAGCAAGCTACTGTACATTTTTTACTGTGTAATCCATTATTTTGCCTTTAACAAGAGACTCAGAGAGGATATGAATTTTTAAGTATAAATCATTAAGTTAGAAGCGTTTTGATGGTTATATCCACTGATTGTAAAATTACGGTGTAATTACATCCATGCGTCATACCTCCACCTTGTACTCGTTTAAAGGTTCAATACGGCAGCAGTAAATGCTAAAGTAGCAGTAAATTAACATTAAGACGTCCCAGTGTAAAGACGTGGGAACAAAAGGTCCTACTACATAGTGGGGCTGCTGGAGAATATACCAACAGTTAGTCGAAATATGAATATAAATGTTGTTTGCTTTAAATTATTTGAATATGTTGCTGCGGCAGTTTATGTAAAACTCGGCCTCTTTACATGAATCTCTCTGAGTAATTACATGAAAGAAAGAATACATCAAATACTCTCCAGCTGACTCTGTTGTGGCCTTTCAAGTGTTAACTCCAATAATTACCAACAGTATAACGAATGCGCTTTAATTTCACAGTAGAAAGCATTGTTTTCTTCTGTTGGTAGATGTCTCATTTAATAATGTAACACTTGGAATTAAATTTGCCTACAGGCTCCACTTTCCCGGTCTTTCTTTTTGTGTTTGTCCCTCTAGACGAATCCAGTCTCGCCGTAGCTTCTGTGCTTTTACTCTTATTTGTCTGCTCTAACAGTATCAATTCATCAGCTCCACTCTTCTCTACATCTGCTCTCTCGGCTTCCAGGGTTTTCCATCATCCCATTCTCCAACATTATGCCTCTCTCTCTGATCTCATTATTGTCTCTGAAACTGAGCCAGTTTCTCCTGACAGCATTAAATGTCTCTCATGATTCTTTGTCTGAGACCCTCTTGGACAGCCGTGTGCCATTATTCTTATTCTATAACAGATAGATGCCCACGGCTGAGCACTTCATATATCCTCTTGTTTCCATCCAGCGCTGCGTTCTTTACCTACATACTTATCACATATTTCCATATTTCACCTCTGTTTGTCTGTCTTTCCAGAGGCAGTCCACCACGTCTCCGTCAGCATTAACGTGTCCCACTCCTTGCTTGTTTGTACCGAGGCCTGGGG